CTACTTTTTCTCATTAATTTCAAATTTTAAGAAAGAAATTAGCAAGCACCCGTGTAATACACGGGTGTTGTACTAGTATATATTTTAATCAACTTTTGGCGCTTGCACCTTGTATGAAATTCCAATCTAAATTTCAAATTGAAACAATTATTTTCTTCATTAATTTCAACAGGTTGATAGTCCAAATTTTTCAACATGAAATGCGTCCGCATTTAGGGTTGTTATCGAACCAAACTGTCCGCGAACAATTAAAGCTCGTTCGTTTTAGTAATCGAATCGAACTCGAACATGGAATTACGCTCGTTTAGTTATTGAACGAACACGAACAAGTTCGCGACTAAAACGAGCGCTCGCGAACAAAAATGTATTTTTTTTATAATTTTATATATTATATACATAATATATACATATAGATTAGTATATAATTATATAAATACAATATATGAATATGGATATATATTATTAGGGATGAAAACGATCGGAAACGATCGGCATAGGGCTCAACCATTTCCACTTTCATATTTTTTTCTTGAAAACGAAAATGATACGGTAATGTCGGAAACGGAAACGACATCGATATTCTGGTAATATCGAAAACGAAACTATCCGATCGAAAATACATCGATAACGATCGAAATATATTAAAACGGTATTTAAAAAATGATACACACCACATTATAAAATATAGCATTAAACATTAATTGAAATATTCTCATGGCATAATAGTAGCAAAATCCAAATCAAAATCCACACCATTTGCTATAAGAAAATCAATACAAATTCAAATAACTAGCAATTGAATTGTGACTTGTCCACCAAAGTGGGGTAGGCGGCGACAGCTGGAGCCTGTAGCGGCTGGTGCGATTGCGACGTTGATGGGAGTGGGGCGCGGCAGCGACGAGCAGGTGACGGGAGTGACGACGAGCAGGCGTGGCGAATTGCGATGGCCGTCGGCCGATGGAAGAGATGACAGACTCCCAGACGAGACTCGAGAGTGAAGACCAAACGGGATGAAGGGGATTTGGGCACTGTAGATGCGGTTGCGACAGTGATGGGAGTGGGGCGCGGCGGCGACGAGCAAGTGACGGGAGTGGCGACGAGCAGACGACGAGTAGATGGAAGAGACGACAGACTCCCAGACGAGACTCGAGAGTGAAGATCGAAAGGGATGAAGGGGATTTCAGGATTTGGGCATTGTAGAAGGGTTGGGTTAAAAGGGATTTGGGCATTTGGCCCATTTGGGATTTGGATTGGGCTTTATAATTAAAAGTGAGCCTAGTATGAGTTGGGCCGGTATTACCGACGGTAAAATACCGTTTAAGTACGGTAATTTTCGAAAACGATCGGAAAAGGGCTAAACCATTTTTGTTTTCATTTTCGAATTTTTTTACCGTTTCCATTTCCGTTTTTCCGGTTACCGTTTCCGTTTCCGTTTAGCCTCCAAATCCGAAAAAATTTCGAAAACGATTCCCGGTAATCAGAAATTACCGTTTCCGTTTTCATCCCTGTATATTATATATTAAACAAAAATAACTTGTATGGTATAAAAAAAAAATCAACAAAGACGAACACGAACTTGTCGAACAATTCAAACAGTCCACGACCAAATTTGACTATATAAACAAACGAACACGAACTTGTCGAACCAATAAACGAACGAACAATAACATTTTTTTTTTGTTCAAATACTAACCAAACAAACACGAAAATGATCGAAAACTAGTCGAACTCGAGCTCGAAAACATTAAGCTCAGATCAATTCAGTTCGATAACAGCCATATCCGCATTGGATTAATTTATTGGACCCTTAACTTGGACTTTGTAATGTCAATGACAATACCTCAAAAACATAAATAGACCCAACTAAGTGTGGATCGATCATCTTCTTCTTGTAAGCTTGTTATTGTACTAATTTGTAAACTTTCATTTTAAAATCAATGTTGGTTTCAACAATGGCAGAGTATTTGGTAAGCCTATGTGCCTTTTCATGCATACAAAAGTCAAAATATACACATATTTATAATGTAGAGTATTTACATTTCAACCAAAAAATATGAATTAATAAAAATATACCAAAGATTTTTT